AGATTAAAATTTTACGTATATATTAAATGTTAAAAATCTATAAATAGAATTTTATTTTAATTTTTAGTGTTTTAAAATTAAAATATTATATTTATTTAATATTATTTTGTATTAATAATAATAATTAGTATTATTTTATTAATATAATTTAATCACAATTTAATCAGGGTTGAACTTGGATCTTATAAATCAATATCAATGATTGATCTAATTTTGAAAATACTAAATTTTACTTTTCAAACTTTTTTTCTGTGGACTTTATCATTTCTTTTATTATATTATTTGGTACAAGATGTTTTTCTAACACTTCATAGAATCTCTTGTTTCTTTTTCTATATTTATATACATAAGATTCAAACAAAACATTCATTTTACTTAAAAAGTAGTCGAGCTCAAATTTATTCTAAGATCAATGATTTGGTTGTTACTTACTATCTTTATAATTATTATTTTTTAAAATAAAATAGGAAAAAGGAGTGTTGATGTGCAGTTTAGGATTGAAGATAAATGACGGTGCATTCTGTAGTTTTAATGTTGTGAAGTAAAACTACAATTATGATAGATGAAATGATATAAAAAATGATGGTCAGATACAACAACACTGAAGGCGAAAGCAGTGTTGATGGTAGCGCTACTTAATGGATTATAAGAGCATTTCCAATGAGGTTGCTTACATATCACTGTCAAATCAGTTATAGTCTATTTTATAGATTGCTTAAATTTTAGCAGAATTGCTTCTACAAGCAACTTTGCTAAACTTGAAGCAACTCATAAAGTATGTCAGAACTGATTTGGCAGTGATGTGGTACAGGGAGTTACTTACTTATAAGCAACCTCCATTGAAGATGTTCTAATGATCATAGTAGTTGTAAATGATAATATGAAAAATATTATAATTAAATTTTAATTCAAAATTTATTACTTAATTTTTTATCTTTCGTAATAAAATACTTCTCTCACTTAATATATATTTTAATATATATATACTTTCTAAAAAATTCACAGTAGCTTATAGTTAACAAATTATCAACAATAATTAATAAACTTAACATTAGAACTGTTCATATCAGTCCACTCCATCCTGAGTAAAAGATTTTTAAAGAGTTTGAATTTAACAAACTATACTTCAATGCATTTTTTTAAATTGTACTTTGTGTTGTTTAAATTTGTGCCAACCAAAAATTTATTGATATTATTAAAATCATTGTATTCAAAGTATTATTTGTATCATTTATTGAACTGTCACAATTTAAAAAAAAAAAAAACGTCTCAATAGATTAAAAAGGGAAGATATTTATAAACTAAATTTAGCTTGGATTCTTAAGTGATATGTGACCTTTAGGTATATTAGAACAAGTCTCCTAGTTGAGGCTAAGAAGCGAGAGTGGTCTGAGTTTTCCTTCTAGTGTTAATGTTTTAAACATAAGTTTGTTGTCATTGTGTCTAAAATATCGTTCATTTTGACACTCATTGAGCTGTCATGATTTTATTCTTTAAAAGATATCTCAATGAATTAAGAAAGAAGTGTTTATCAACTATCATTAGTCTTAATTCTTAAGTGATAAAATTTTTAGGCATATCAGAACAAATCTCTAATTGAAACTAAAGAGAAAAAGTAACATAAGTTATCCCTATAGTATCAATACATAGTTTAAAACTTGAGGCTAAAGGCAAGAGAGACCTACGCTTCAAGACTAAAGATAATTTAAAAGTATATAAAAAATAAATAAATAATAAAATATTTTTTATAAATTATAAATAAGTTATACATGAATTAATTTGTAGAAATTCTTTCTATTATTAACTTCTCTAAAATTTTAATTTTAATTATACATAAATTAGGTTTAATTTATCAAAAAAAAATAATTTTTTAATATTTTTTATAAACATCTAAACAATCGATTATTTAATATCTAAAATAATATGAAATTGTATAATGATTTAGTTTCTGGAATGTGAGAAGATCAAAAGATCAATCATGGTTCGAAAGACCAAAATTTAAACATGTCATTGGAATTCCTAAGCGATAGTAACATTTGCTATAAAGTCCCTCTTGCACTACTTTATGTCACATCTTGGTGCCCTCGTTCCTCGTTCAACAAATTTGGAGAAACAGAGACGTTGTTGTCATGAACTTTTGTTCATATTTTTGACTTTTCATTTATATATTCTTTTACACCTCAATTATTACTTTAACTTTATATCTTTTTCTATTTTCTTTTCTTTTCTATCACATTTCACATCAATTGTACTATGTTTTCTTCATATATAGTATATATATTATGTCACGTGTCGAATAATCATTTATTCATTTGTGATTTTGGGTGAATTATCTGAAGGACCATTTATACAAGTGATGTATGAGTGTACCATGAAAAATTACCATTAGATGCATCTAAGCCTATTGGTTACCATACACCCTATCACACAATATCTAAATTTCTGAATTTTTTATTAAATTACTTTTTTTTTAAATTACCCAAAAATTTGAACTGTCGCACGTCAGTGTTCACCTTCAGAACGGGCCGTTCTAAAATCAGAACGGGTCATTCCTAATGAAAAAAGTAACACATACAAATGGACCAGAACGGCCCGTTCCAGATTCAAAAAAACGACATGAGAAGTTGAATCAAAACGGGCCGTTCTACATTCGGAACGAGCCGTTCCAAATGAAAAAATAACATGTAACGAATAAATCAGAACGGTCCGTTCCAGTTTCAAAAATAACAAATGACTAGTTAAACCAGAACGGGCCGTTCTAACTACATATTTGTCATACAAACTTTTTTTTAAGCAAAATAATATTTTTTTTTCATTCTACTAAATTACATTTAAAATTTAAGTATATTATTTCAATTGATAATGTTTGTTATTAGAATTAGAGGTTTATATTAATTATATGCTTAAATTTCTAATTCTAATTAGAAAATAACACCAAACAAAATTTTCTGCTATAAATATAATATTCTCTCATTTAAATCATTGCAAAAATTTGTTAGTTTGAGTTTTACATCTCGACATTTTCCTCTTAAAAAAATTATGTTAACAAATATTATTGGGCCTAGTTTTGGGCATTATGGGCTTTGGGCTTTTGATAGCTTCTAAGCTTAGTGAGCCCAATGAGTTTAATGGGCCTAGAGTTCTTTTTACTTGGGCTTTACATGAATGACCACCTTTCTCATATATTTGGTAGTATAAGAGTTTATATTGTTTGGTCTTGTATTGTAGGCCTTAGTATAAAACTTTTTAGGTTTTAAGCTTATTGGGCCTAGTTTTGGGCTTCATGGGCCTTTGGGCTTTTGATTGCTTCTGAGCTCAATGAGCCCAATGGGTTTGGTGGGCCTAGGATTCTCTTTACTTGGGCTTTACATGGATGACCACCTTTCTCATATTTTTGGTAGTATATGAATTTATATTGTTTGGTCTTGTATTGTGGGCCTTAGTATAAATTTTTTTGGGTTTTAAGCTTATTGGGCCTAGTTTTGGGCTTCATAGGCCTTTGGGCTTTTGATTGCTTCTGAGCTCAGTGAGCCCAATGGGTTTGGTGGGCCTAGGGTTCTTTTTACTTTGGCTTTACATGGATGACCACCTTTCTCATATTTTTGGTAATATAGAAGTTTATATTGTTTGGTCTTGTATTATGGGCCTTAGTATAAAACTTTTGGGTTTTAAGTTTATTGGGCCTAGTTTTGGGCTTCATGGGCCTTTAGGCTTTTGATTGCTTCAAAGCTTAGTGAGCCTAATGAGTTTGGTGGGCCTAGAGTTCTCTTTACTTGGGCTTTACATGGATGATCACCTTTCTCATATTTTTGGTAGTATAAAAGTTTATATTGTTTGGTCTTATATTGTGGGTCTTAGTATAAAACATTTTGGGTTTTAAACTTATTAGGCCTTGTATTGATGTCATTGAGGAAGGGGCTTCATATCTCACTCATGCTTAGCACCAAACTACCCGCACCTAATGTCATTGAGGCAAAGTCTCCTATTCTCTCGTATCTGGTATGACAAAACTCACGTCCGACCCTAATTAGGCAGAGGGCCTTTGTCTAACTTATGTTTAACGCCACATACATTAGCACCCAATGCAAATCCAAACAGAAAATGAGTATCTCTCCTCACACTAGGTGACATTTAATCAACGCCTAATGTTTGTGGCATTGGCAACAAAACCACGAAAGTCTATGCACCTTAAAAGCAATTAAACTAATGTAAATCAAATTTAAAAATATTTGGTAACATCATTTTTTTAAGAGGAAAATGTCGAGATATAAAACTAAAACTAACAAATTTTTGCAATGATTTAAATGAGAGAAAATTATATTTATAATAAAATTTTGTTTGGTGTTATTTTCTAATTAGAATTAGAAATTTACGCATATAATTAATGTAAACCTCTAATTATAATAGAAAAACATTATCAATTGAAAGACTATACTTAAATTTTAAATGTAATTTAGTAGAAAAAAAAAATTATTTTGCTTAAAAAAATTCTTATGAAAAATATGTAGTTAGAATGGCCCGTTCCGAATTCAGAATGGTCCGTTATGGTTTAACTAGTCATGTCTTATTTTTGAATCTGGAACGAGCCGTTTTGATTTCGGAATAGGCCGCTCTGTTCTATTCTTCATGTGTTTTTTTTTCATCTAGAACGGCCCGTTCTGATCTATTATTCACGTCTTATTGTTTCATCTGGAACGACCTGTTCTAATTTTATCCTGTGTGACATGATGTATTATATACTATTAGATTAAATACATCCTATGATTAAAACTTATGATGTACCATTCACCACTTATTAAAGTGGTCTATCAGAGACATCACCTCCTTGTCCTCATGCCTTCAAAATCCATGTGTTTCGTAGTTATTATTTTAAAGTTTGAATGGGTCAAACTTACACAAGTTGTACTAATATTTTTTTTTGTTATTATTATTTTATTTAAGAAAGATAATAAAGTAGTAAAATGTATAGCAAAGTAGATAGTGGTCAAAATGAGAAAATTGATATATTGTGTATAGTGACTAAAACGTTTAAAATATAAAACAATAACTTTTTGTATGAGAAAAATTATCTGACTATAATGTAATTTTACAAGCAGAACAAGAAAAATAATTTACCGATAAATCAAAATATAAAATAACTTATCATTTTTGAAAAATTATATTGCTAAACAGCAAACGTTATTAATTAAAATTGACGTGTGTGAGGAATATCCTAACAGATACTCCAAATGTAAAACTTTAATTACATCTAATTAGTATTATCAAAACAGTATTGAAAACTAATATTATGTTTTTTTTCTAAATGAAACTGAGTTCACATATCTTAAATAAGATCTTATGTTTGAATTTTATAGATAAAGTAAAATTGTATAGTTAGAAAAGAAAACTTCCATAAAATAATTAACTATAGTTTTTCAAAGACATGGACAAAGTCAACAAATACTTTGCATATATAATAAGCTAATAATAATAATAATCAAAAGAAAAATGTGATGAGTTTCTCCTTTATCAACTCACTTTAAATTCAACCAATTTTCATCCTGTTAAAGAACAAAAAATAATTTGGGAATATTAAATATATTTTACTAAATATATAGCAAGATTAACATGGTTAACATTTGTTTGAATTCAGTTAATGAGTGTCTTAAAACTATTAAAAATATTAAATATATTTTACTAAATATTTTAATTACTTAAAAATACTAATAATTTTTATTTTGACGACATAATAAATATTTGAAAAAAAAAACTTTTTACCTGCAGTACCTATTATAAAGACAAATAATTAACGTGATATGTATAGCCTTTGTGATCAAATATTAATTTGAGTTGAATATTGTAAGTTAGATAAGAATATTCAATACAGTACCTATTATAAAGACAAATACTTATAGTGTCTTTCAAAAGAAAAGAAAAAGAAAAATATTTCTCTATATTATTTAAAGCACACCATTTTAGTTACGTTGGATTTACTTGTCTTTTAGTTTAGCAACAATTTTAAAATTTTAATTAATATGATACTCCATGTGAAAACTAAAACCTTTCTCTTTCTTTGAAAATACCTAATTCCTATGCAAGAAGTGGGTACACAAAGTGTTGAATATGTGTACAAAACCAAAAGCAAAATTATTCAGCGTGTTGACAATGACTTAAAATTCAATTCCGTTGTCATATCCTCAAACAACAAAATCATTGAGAAACTTTTATCAACCGAGGGATTCCACCTTTTAATTAGTTGCCTAATTCAACGAAGCATATCATGTGAAAACTGTTCACATTTGTGGGTTTTTTATTAGTAGTTTTAGTAAGTTACTGTATGAATTATGTTAATAAAAAAAAAAGATGCATATGATAAAATACTATTGTACACTCAGAGTTTCTACGTACGTATCTTTATATTGGTAATATATTATTTTTTTCATCATCACTTGAAAAATCTTTTATCAATAGAGATTGTGTGTCTATTTATAAATTCATATTCATCTTCTTTCTCGTACGATATAAAATTTTGATTGTATTTCAATAAATACGGATCAATAATGTGGTGTTAGGGTTTAACTCTTGTTTGAAGCAGATTTTGGAGGCTTTCAATACCTATTGGAGAAACCAGAGATCACCCATTGGCGAACCCATTTGGACCTGGCAGTCCAAACCTTGGAGATGTGAAGCTTGACCCTATCTTAGTCATAGTTGGTGGCAATGAATTGCTGAAGGACAGAGCAGCAGAATATGCAACAAGGTTAAAAGAACTAGGGAAGAACATTGAATATGTTGAGTTTGAGGGCAAGGAACATGGTTTTCTGACTCATGATTTATACTCAGAAGTTGCGGAAGAGGTCGTGCAAATCATTAAAAGGTTCATGCTTGAGAATTCTAAATAGAATTAATGTGTGGAAAAGAAAAGATCATCAAAGGGTCCTAGAGTTTTCATGTGTAGTGATCTTAAGTTAATCCATGTTTTCTAGTTTGGTAAAATGTGTAATAAAATGTACGTAAGTTGCAGATGGAGAATTAATGTAGTGAATTGGTTGTTTTTATATGTTATTTTGAAGTGGAAAATGCTGCTTTGTAAAATTTTAATTGCTATCTTATAATTTTTCGAATAAGAAATTTTTTCATAAGTATTATAAGAGAGGGAATAAATAAATAAATAAATTTTTTATAAGATAAAATTAAATTATATATAAATAAAAATCAACTTTTGAAAAAGTTATTGTGAAAATTTTTATATATTAATTTATGTATAAGTTAATTTTAAATTATGAAAAAAAAGCTTTTTCATGAAAAATTTATTCAAATATATATAGAAATTTTTTAACAAAAATCTTTTAAGTTTATTTACTAACCGGTTTGTCTTTTAAGTTTGATTTTTGTATAGAAATTGTTTAACAAAAGTTAAATTATTATTGTACTGCCCTATTTAAGTACCAAACTCGTCCCTTCCCAAGTTATCAAACTCAGCCAAAGGTTTATCGACCTGACTAAATAGCGAATTTGGGAGGTCCTCAGAAGCCCCTTCGCTCTTACATTACTCGGTGCTTCGAGGACAAGTGTACTGGCCTAGCCGATTTATGAACTTGTCCCTTACCAAGTTGTCAAACTCGATCAAAGGTTTACTAACTTGACAAAGCAGTGAACTCATTATTGCCGAACTACTAAGCTCGGCCACGAAACATAAACATCGGAGTATCACATCGGCCCAAAGAGGCCACGTCATCAAAAAGATAAAAATAAAATCTTGTTACCGCGCCGCAATCATGAGGTAAAATCCTAAAATTACCAATGTGCCGTAGACAGTAAAAACTCTAAAATCATCAAGGTACGCCTATATATGAGAGACATCTACACTATCAAGTACTAACTTTAAGCATCAGAGTCTCTTTTGCAAGTACCACCCCCATCTTGGAGCGGCCAACCTGCGAACTAATGGAGACTCACCAATCTCATCAAAGAGATCATCACTAGACCAATATCGGGTGAGAACAATTATTATTATTATTATTATTATTATTATTATTATTGTTATTATTATTATTATTATTATTATATATGTGTGTATATAGCAACATTGAAAAAAATATATATATTTATAATTTTTTTCCTTATATATCTATGAATCATTACCAAAAAATTGTCACTAAGAAAGTGTTTGGTATACAAAATATTTTTATTTGTTTGGAATATTTAAATAGAAAATCTTGTTTTTCATGTTTGGTAGCTGTTAAAAAAAAAAACAGAAATATAATTTCTCGATAATCATTTTTAGTCCACTTTCTTACAAAAACCATTTTCATAGAAAAGTATAAATCTAACTTTTTCGAATTAGGAGAAAAATTTTATAAATATAAAAAGATCACAATATTTCTTTTTAAAATAAAAATATCTTTCTCTCTCTCTCTATGTCTTTCCTTTTATGTCTCTTTCTCCCTTTCTTTCTCTCTCTCTCTGTCTGTCCCTCTCTCCCCTTCTCTCTCCATCTCTTTCTCTCTCTCTCTCTCTCCCTCCTTATTTTCTCCCTCACTCTCTCTATCACCCCCCTCTCTCTCTCCTCTCTCTTTCCTCTCTCTCTCTCTGTCTCTCTTTCTTCCTATCATATCTCTATTTCTCTCTTTCTTACATCTTATTATTTCTTGACCTTGTCAATTTTAGTGATATTATTAAAGTTTATTTTGTTTCTATAGTTTAATAATATTTTCTTGCATTTTTTTTATTTACTTATTTATTTAAATAAAATAAAATAATATATCTTTATCTTTCTTAATTATAATGTAGTATTTTTTATTTATTTCTTTTATTAAATTTTGTATTCAAATAAATTAAATTTTAACTATTTTTAAGATTTATCATTTCTAGAAATCATGATTCGTAAATATGAAAGGATAGTTTTATTTCTAAAATTTGTAATTTCTAAAAATTATGATTCCTGAATATGAAAGGATGTGATATTATACAATTTGACATCTCATATTATTTACACAGTTGGTCCAGCCATAATTGAAGATAGCACGCGTATCATGTCCTCCAATCCACCGAATTGAATTTGGATAGATCAAAGTTTTTGGGTCGTGATTTTACATTCTCGTTATGCATATTACATGCTTATATTCAATTTCTCAATCATTTTCGTCGGTTTGAGAGGACCTACATTTTTTCTCATCACTTGAAATGAGGGGATAAGCTCTTTTTATGTTAAATGTTATAAATAAATAAGTACATCCAATATGCATAAAGAAAAGCAAATTATGGAAAATATTCCTTTGCATGGTTTGTGGTGTTAGATAGAATACCACTCTGATTCATGATTCATGATTCGTTATTTAATCTAGTTAAAAAAAGGTGTTCTCAATAAGATGACTCATCACTGTCTCTCATTTGTTCTTCCCTTCAAACTTTGCTATTGGAACATGCACGGGCCTCAACGTTTGTAATGTCCTTGAATTTAGATATAATTTTATTAAACACAGGAACTTGGAGAAAAGGAAAAAAAAATCAGATGATGGATGTTATCTATAGTCTATTTGGATCCATATAAATGGATTATAATTGCTGTTAAGAACGAATAGGTGGATTTTGCTAGAGATAGAGACATAATGAAATAAAGGATATATAGGAGATGGACATGATTAATTATATTTTATTTTATAAGCATATAATTGTTGTGCTGTGATTCAGATTTGATCGCTGGTAATATAAAGTTATATGTAAATAATTTTGTAATATTATTAACTATTAGCAGTAAGAAAAAATTAATCATCATTAAATATATTAATAATTCTATGATATTATTTTAATCATATGCATATTGATTTTATTTTACAAGATCACATGTATATTTATTATGGTAATCGTATATAACTATGTCTAATTACTTACATGTAATTAACTACATGCGACAGATAATAATCTCGTGATATGATTAATTACTAGTAAAATAAATTTAATTATTATTAGATATTTGAAGAAACTCATACTATTATTAAGTACACATTTATAATTATAAATTATTTTTATTTACTCGTAAACATTTTATAAGTAAAATTAACTTATTTACACACACATATATATATATATATATATATATATATATATATATAATTAATTAATTAATTAGCCACACAAGTGAGTTATTGTATTTTTTTTCTAATCCTCTACAAGGCATGAGGTCTTATAGCATATCATGAAAAGTTTGTAATTTGTACTATGATCGGACTACCTGGTACTCTCAATTAATACATGAGTGCAATGTGCAATGTTTTTGAATAACTAAGATGTACACTTTAATAGTGATTGAGTGACAAGACATTTAAAAAGAGTGCGCAAACTTAAAGTTTTAGTATTAAAGAGTTAAGGATTATCATTAGAAATATTACACTTGTTATAAGCTTAAAACAAATAACATATTAAAAAAAATTAGTTATTTATGATAAGTTTTATTAATGTCATGATATTTTTCTTAAATTACTTTTATTATAAATATCTAATAAAAACAACAATCTAATTAAAAGTTCATACATTGATAATTTTGAGAATGTGATTAAGTAAGACAAATGTAATTAAATTTTACTTATATTTAAGAAGAAAAATATTTATTTTGCTTATAATAAATAAATAAATTATTAATTAAATATATTAATTCGGGTTGACCCAAGTAAGTACACTATGAGTGTGTATGGTTATTTTAGCATACTCAACTAATTAAGATATGCTCAATAACACTTTTGAAGCTAGTAGTTGTGAAAGAGTTAGTACATGGTTCTTTCTTTTCCTTTTCTTAGGATAGAATGACAATAATAATTGATATTTATAAAAATTATTTACAATAAATTTTTTACCAAATAAATTAATTTGAGTTTATACTTAAGTATTTATTATAAAATTTTATCGGTATTATAATACACATCTCAAGGATGTGTATCATTGGTGTAAAAAAAAAGAAGATGTATATCATTCATCAAGCTAGTCTAACTCGACACAATTTTGATTTAATAGTTTCAAATTTTAGAAATTAGGTATGATACATGTGAGTCATGTGACTTACGTTTATTCCCAGCGTTTTAATAAAATATAATAAAATAAGTAGTGTAAATAAAAACTCACATATAAAGGTAAAAGGACAAGGATTTAGGATTTCTCACTTCTAAGTCACTACTTAAGATTTTTATTCAATCTTAAACCCTAAACTCTTAACCTTAAAAGGATTATAATTATATGAGATACTAAATAAAATTGTAACCTTTTAATAATAAAATGAGCTATGGAAAACATAAGATAAATAGGCATAAAATCACATTTACAAGTTCTCAAAAGAAGTTTAAAAGTGAAGCATGATTGAAGAAACTTCAAAACTAAAATAAGATCCACATAAAACAAATATAAGCAAAAGGAAACATAAACTAATTCTCTAAATCCTGATGTCACATTAATCAAAACATTCCCATCAAAAGTAAAACCTAATCCTAAGTTTCATCACTCGCACACTCAAACTCATTTACTTGACATGCACCTAAAAGTGATGTTCATCTCAAGCAAGAAAAATATTACAACATAGAGGAGTAAGAATATATTTCACACTTATATAGACACATAAAAATATATAGATAATTTATGAACTTAATTAACAACAATACAAGCTTATACATTCACATTATATGAAATGTAGGACTCACGAAGACTCATATTCTTAATTCTAGATGCATGTGATACCAATCACACTATACACAAGGCACTCACACATATGAATCAGTCTAAAAGTACATGGACGAGAAAAATGACAATAATGGGTAATCAACATGCGATCCACTTTGACTAAAACAAATCCATCAAAAGTCAATCAAGCTATCATAGTTAACCATGATTCCCTCCCATACAACTAAAACAAGAGGTTTCTCACCATAACACCCTCATGACCAAGGTAAAAGACCACAAAAACCCTCCCACATAGAGGAGTAAGAATATATTTCACACTTATATAGACACATAAAAATATATAGATAATTTATGAACTTAATTAACAACAATACAAGCTCATACATTCACA